TCCACACAGGAATAAGAAAAGATCATAAATAATACAGTTGTCAAAAAGATTGAAAATCTCAGACTGAGGCAGTCAAGACTGTGCAGTGTGGGTATTTGTACAGAGCACCTGTACAGCAGTTTCTCAAAGCAGGAGATTACCATGAGAAATGTGGCTGGCTAGTGGGGTGGGCTTGGATTATCATGGGGATGCCTTCCATTAAGGAATTCACTAAGATCAGCAGGTGATACACACAATATATTCAGTTGAAAGTACCACTAAACAGAATCTCAGGCAAGAAACCTATTCTACTTTGACTTCTGATCACTCCAACTTCATCCTGACAGAAGGCAGTTCCCATTTTTCCCCAAGCAGAGTAATTTTGGTGATAGGTACAATATTCTCCTTTCATAAGCAGACTAAAGTAAAACAGGGGAAGAAAATGCTTTGAAGAAACACAGACATTTTAAACAAAAACAATCATTTTTCTAAATGGTTTTATTTACATTTTTCATATACAAGTATGTTAAATGATACATTCTGACTAGTATCCACACCAGTGTGAATTAATTACATGGATTAAAGCTACTGATGTATTGCATATGATGAAATGCAAAACAATCAACCCTAAGCTGTGGTCCCACCCCCTGCATGTGAGATGCCTCAAACAGCATCTGTTTGTTACCAAGACATTTAAAATTCAAAATGTCCATATGAAATAGAAGTTATCTAAACAAATGTATCTGGTTGCATTTCTTTAGGACAAGCAATAACACAGGAGTCTTGCAAAATTCTCAAGACAAAAAATACATATTAACAGCCAAACCTCTTACATGTATGTTACCAGCTTTGTATTTATTGTTTCTAGACTTGGGCTACTTGTCACAACTGTTTTCTGGATCTGATTTTTTATATCTTTAATTATGGCAACCTTTCAACCCCTATTAACAATGTTCAAAGTGACCAGGATATAAAGGTAAAAGCTGTGGCGTGAACTGGCCTGAAGCATTCAGGACAATTACAGAGGAAAGTTTCCATTCAGAGTAACTGGAACTAAAAATTCCTTAATCATAAAAAAAAAAAAAAAGTTGAAAGTATGTGAATACAGTTTAATAAATGTGCCTAAGAGGATTTTCAACCTGGTGATTTCTCAAAGGAAACTAGCAGAGGAAAAAAAGGCAACTTCAAAAGCTTCAGAACTACTGAAGTATTTAGGAGACTGGTAAAGTAAATGTTCTTTCATGAGCATGAAAAGCATTATCAGGTCTTTCTGTATCTAAAAGGTGGTTCAACCAAAGTGACAAAGGAAACAGCAACAGACAGGTGGGCCTATGGGATCACAGGGTATTAAAGTGGATTTATTTGCACATTTCTGTAGCACCTTTTAGGCAGGTGCCAAAAGCACTTTAATCACTAGAGCAGCCTCACAACAACCCTGTGAGGTAGGTAGGTATCTGTTAAAGAACAGGTTAAATAACTTACCCAGGGAGACACAGCACATCAGCAGAGCAGGCTAGAGTCCAGAGCGTGTGATCTATGGATTTAATGTTATGGCACAGTGGGGCTGACTTAGGCACTCCTTTATACAACTGCCATTCAACAGAGCCAAGTTTCTGACAGGAGGTTTTTATGAGAAAGGTTATCAGAAGAAAAGTGTGCTTTAAGTAACTACAGAAAAGAAGATTTTGGGAAGAATAGCACTACTGTTCCACTTCCTAAATTTTAAGAGATGCAGAATATCAAGTTAACTATTTTGCTTGCTTAAACACTTATCAAATCCAAAACTCTACTTAGATGTTCAAATATTACGACCCAAAACCAGCTGTGAACTGGGAGTTGTTTCATCCACTTATATCATTTCTAACTCCTGCAATTCTTCTTTGAAGGTCAGAAGAAATAAGAATCAGTGCAAGAACCCAAACTTGTTTCAACAATTTCAACTTTAATGGTGTAATTCCCATTAACAAACTGTCAAAGCATGCTCTTCCTAACTCATGTCCTTGTTCTACTGACTGCCTAACCAGTCACAATGCAGAGAGCAAAGCACATAAACCAGTGCTTGGCACACAAAATGCTCAATGTGAAGTATTTGGTTACTTGAGCATGCTCTGTGTACCAGGTGTGGCGAGCTGGATGAACACTGAGTGCTGAGCACTGCTCCCCACTCTATCCCACCAGGGAACACAGTCACACACAGAAAGCACAACAGTCAGCAAGCTGAACAAACACAGCCATAAAACCCAGAGGCAATCACAGCAGCAAGGCCTGCACTTACAAGTTATACATTACAGAAAGAACTGGCACGTGCACTTTTTGTGCAGATAGTTTATCAACAATTCCTACTGAAGACTGGAAGTGACTAAAGAGAACACATTTGTTAAGTCAGACAAAGGGGAATTTAAAGCCTTCTAACAACTTTGAGAGTCCAGCTGTTTAAGGGCTAATTTCTTTTTTGTAAGGCCCTTTTCATAACCCTCACCCTGGCTCATCTTGCAATATACCACAACTAAGGAACATTTTCCAGCTCTGATTTATGTCTTGCAGAGGGCAAAATTCTCTAGTGAAAGACAACCTGGCAGAAAAGAACTCCCACTTCCCTCCCCCTGTCTGTCTTTCTGGGATGCAAAGAGAAAACGTTTTCATGTTAAAGAGTAAAATCCTTTTTTGACATCAGATGACTGAAGATTTTACAAGTTTCAGATTTCAATAATGAGGCAGCAAAAGTAAATTGAAAGCAGTGCTGGAGATCTACCATGGGTTTATTTTACTAAGTCATGGCTAGAAAGTTATATACTTCTAAACAGCCCAAGAAAAGTTTTCTAGCAGGAGGAGACTACTAAAATTGCCAAGGAAAAGAACTTTTGGAAAATACTTTCCTCATATTCCTTGCACGACTTAAGGCTGCAATAAAAAGAAGCCTGGACAGAATTCCTCCACTCAGCCTTCAAAAATTAACTGAAATCTTTAATTTAACCACAGGGTCTAAAGAACATTTGATAAAGCATTTTGATTTGAATTCACCCAGATGGACTGCACAAATGATATGCAACTGAAAACAACAATGACAGCAGTGCCCAATTGTGTGAGCATATCTGTTTTTAGAGAGGAATTTGGAAATAAGTTATTTCAACTTACAGCTAGGTATGCTCACATGTGCTTTAAAAAACCAGAGAAAAGCATATTGCTTTGTTTGGAAATTGGCCACTATCACTTGTAACATGCCACTGTAAACAGGGAAGTTGAAAATTAAGTCATAACTGGGATTTAAAAATTTGGCTGTTAAGATAAAAGATAAATTTCTGAAAACTACCTTCTTACATTTCTTTCAAATACAACCCTCTTCAGGTGTAGCCTCTACCAGAAATCCACAGTTCCTATTTTTGTTTTGAAGAACAGAACTCTATATTCCATTTCTCTAATATCTGAAGTGTATTAATAAGCAGACACACAAGAACTGGTGATGGTTATGATAATTCTTTCCCTCTCAGAGTTACCTTGTGTTCCCTGGTACCCATAACTGCTGAGGTGCTGATCTGCTCTCCTTGATGGAACAAGTAAAAAACTCTGCCCTAGACTGATCCAAGTTTGCCACTGTTAAGGTTTCTAAATACTCTTAATTCTAAATTAGGGGAGGTGCTGTCTGTCAGTTCATCTCTGAACGTGGTTTAAGACAGGGAGCTTTACGCTAACAGCAGGACTGTCTGCTGAAGGATGCACAGTGTGGTACTGGCTTTCTGAAATGGCCTCACTCAACCCTTAATTTGAGGCATGAGAAAGGTAAAGGTTTTAAAAACTGCAGAATTCAGGCAATTTAATGAAATTATGAAATAAGATTAGATTCTAAAAACTAGAACCTGTAGCAAAAATTTCAGGGTACTCGTGTACTAATGGATTTGGCTGCAGGGTTCGAAAAGGAAAAACTTGTATTTGTATGTTAGTCCATTTGCAATCTCCCAAACATGAATAAACACCAACATTCTAACTACTGCTACAAACAGGATAGTGAAAACTCCAGATATTTAATTTGGTAGCATTCAATTTAGATGGCACTCACTATTTTGCACTGTAGCATCTTTCTATGAACTGCAATATAAAAAATTCTGCTCGATTCCTACGATCCCAATTTTCTGTATCTTCAAAATGTACTGCCAGACATTTCTGGATAAGTAATTGAATGTAAAATAAGATATGATAACTATGCAATGAAATTTCACAGCAAATGGAAGAAAAAGCTCATTTCTCATCTACAGAACACAGGTCCCCACCCCTGAAGTTCAGCATATAGAAAATCTGTCTCAAGGAAGATGTGCAGCCAGAGGATGCCCACGGAAATCATGTGTATTAGTAATAAATACCAGCTACAGAAAGGAATCAAACCAAAATGAACACCACCACCACCCCCTCCATGATTATACAGGGAATTTCATGGCATGTCATTAGAGACAGTTCACTGACCAATGCACCTAGTGATAAGTCTTACCCAGTTATGGAAACAATCACAATTTGTTGGGATTTTTAAAAGCTAATGAGTTGGGCTAATGCATTTTCATTCCAGAAATTAGCTTCCATCCCCACACCCTCCCTGCAAACACTGTTCACAGAAACATTCAAATCCCTAAGAAAGCAAAAAAAATAAATAAATAAAAGAACCAAATATTCAGAGAAAGTCACTCAAATAAGTTTGTATGTGTAAATAAAAAAAAAATTCTCTAAGTAAATGACACGGGAGGCAATAAATTGACACGACAAGCAAATAAAAGGCTAAAGCACTCCAATACCATTGAAACAGTTTTAATGTTGTTGCAATTCCATTATGCAACAATCATCAACTCATGAAAGACCCAATACTTTAGAATTCATTTTAATCATTCCTTTGTACCTATTTTACAAAATAAAGGCAAGGCATATTTAAAATCCCCTTTCCCCTAGATATTATGTGCCTATCTTATTCATGCTTATAAAAATAGAAACTTAAAATCCTATGAAATGTTATGTAAGAAAAAAAATGTAAAAATATTAACCTCTGCTTCAATGTACAGTTTCCAGAATCTGCCAGAACTGGGGAACTGGGCAACAAGGCGTTCATAGGTCTTCCGTGCTTTGTCTATAGGCTGATTCTAAAAATTGAAAATCAAAATAGCATTTACAGAATTATGATTCATGTCAATGAATATGCTGATTTTACTCCAGAACCAAATAGTGTGAGTGGACCATAGATAAGGAAATGTAATCCTATATCACTAAACCTGTGCCTCTCGAATGAGAATGCTCCAAGCGTCAAGGTCATATGGATTTTCTTCTAGTTTCTTTTCAGCTTTCTTCACTTTTTCTGGGACATATTCAGCAGTCTAGAAAAATTAAAAAGAAGACATAAGAGATCACAGGCAGCGTTTAAAAAGTTCTGTCCCACCTACACAGCCAAGCAAAAGAAAACATTTCAACAGCAGAATATTTTAAAATGCAGTTTCTAAACTGGAGAAGAAGTTGTCCCAGGAAGATAAAGCACACTCAGCACAAGTTCTACAAGTTCTGGACATCGACCAAGATGTCAGACTGAACCAACTCAATGTCTCTAAAACACAAAAACAAATTTGAGTTTGCTGGAATATTTACCGCACTATGAATTTTAAACATTTTTACCAACCTGCAACTTTAAGGTGTAAAAAGTAAATTCAGGCCAGTATTTCTATCACAGAGCTCAGGCAAACAAATCCAGTTTATCCAGGAGTCACTGTGGACTTGGAGAACAGAAGGTATTGGGTAGCACAGGTTTAACAAGCAAAGCAGGAGATGATGTTCAGCAGAAACACACACACACCATCCAAGCACGATTCCTTTGTTCACTTTCTGATCTCTCAACCCTACAGATGCTCTCCTGTAGTTTTGGCCCTAACATCACCTTTTTTTTAAAAACACTCAGACATTTCTGATTGAAGTTTAAAAGGTTTTTTTCAGGCTAAAAGCTGTACCAAACTGACTGCAAACTTTTTAATGCCATTACTTTCAAACACTTTTGGAAATAACTTGCTTTATGATTTTCAGGGTTTTTTTTCCTAGACCTAACACTGTTAGCACAAGTAGAATAAAAAAATTACAGTGTGAAGATCACATACAGACACCTTAAAATATATGCTTGTTACAAGCCTAAATGAACTGAAGCTTATTAGTTAAGCCTGAAATATTGTTCTGACCTCCAAAGCAGTCACTAACTTTGAAAACCTGGCTCATTTTTAGGCAGGCAAGAGCAATACAAAACCCACATCAACTAAATCCTTGCCTCTGGGAGATGTAACAATAGTAACCTTAAATCATTACTGTAAGACCTTGCTGGTGAAATTTTATAATTTCAGTACATAATTCAAAATATTCATCTTTAATGTACCGTGCAGTGTGACTGATTTATAAAAAATAAATTATAAAACTTGCAGAAAGTTCTAAAGAAAAAACCAAACAACCAAATTCTGTCATTTGCTAGAAGATTATTTCAAGGAGTTTGCTACACTAGTTCTGAATATTTTTTAGCATCACCAGTTTTTGTGTCAGTCCCACTAGCAGGATATAATTCAAAGCATATCCCTTTAAATAGATCACTTAATAAAACTAGTTATAAAATGGGAAAAGGTTCAAAAATATTGCAGAACTGTTAAATGGACATATCTGATACTGCAGATATACAATAAAGGAAAAAGAAAAAAAATCAGTAGGCTAATTTTATAGGAGGCTAAACACCAGTACTTCTTTTGATTCACTTTTCAAGCAATTCTTAACACTAATGCAAAGCAGGGTAGCTTGGAAGGCAAACATCAAATCCCACATTAAACTCTTCTAAAATTAATTTGATTTAAAAAATCAAAGTAGCACTAAGCTGTCAACTCTGAAACAGTAAATTTATAAACTGCCATATGAATAGTTTTACACTCCTAAGTCCATCAAAATTTGGATTCTGTAGTGGTTCAACTGACACAAGCTTAAGATGTAAAACAGTATAAAATATGTAGTGGTTTTATTTCTTCCCAATTGACATGCATAAACATTATTCAGCTTCCAGAAGCTGAAATTTCTGCATTTTAAAACTATATCTGTAAGCTACCCCTCCAGGTGACCCAAAACCGAAATGTTGCTTATTCAATGAAGCATTAATTCAAATACACCAACATCAGAGGGAAATTTCCTTGTCTCACATAAATTATTGTGGGTACATGAGGGAGAAGGGTCTGGCTGATGCAGCATTAATGTCTGCTACTACAAAAGGACCCCACCCACAAAAGCACAAGGTCCTGCCCTCTAAGTACTGACTTTTAAACAATATTAAACAGAATGGGCCACTGAGGCACCTTTCAGCTATTACATCAGTAGCTAAGTTGTGTTTCCTCAAATCTTTCCAGGTGACACAAAAACATCCATCTCATGTTAAGACTTCCAGGAATTTCATTCACCTATGCAGATACAGGGTCATAAACTCAAACTCAGAAAGAGCTCTGGAAAAAATAGATGGGGATAAGATGCACAACCACAGCAATACTACATTAATTTTGTGTATTTGATACACGAATCAAACTGTGCGAGAAGCACAATTATTTTACTGGAAAATCAAAAGGACTGATTTTTTAAGTTGGTAAATAATTGTTCAGCAGCAACAGATGAAGTTCCCCATTCAGTTGTACAAGACAAAAGACAGGCACTGTACAGAATGGAAAATAACTCTGTGATCAGTTGTGAACTGGACTGCCTGCACTGCTGTGCCTTAGGTCCCTGTGCACCTCCAGACACCTCAGGACACTGCACTGCAGGCACAGCCATGGCCTGGCTCCATCTCTGCATCTTCCCAAATAACCACTCCTAACTCCCTGCAGGAATCAACACTCAGCATTTTCTGGACATTTTGCCAGAGCTGGGGGTGTGAACAAACACCCCTTGTGAGGACCAACACCTACAGCAACACACAGCAAAACGGAACCACGAGCCTGACTCTCAACCTAACTCAAGCACAGGCAGGAAAAATGTGATCCCAGCTTCTAGAGTTTATGTGAACTGCAATTTGTGCTGGCAGCTGCTGCTATCACAGTTCAAGGGCACACAGAAATTATCTATTTCTCATTGTAGTGCTTGCACAACAGCCAATATCCAAACTGGGAACATGGAATTGCTGGGTGTTCACTGCCATTATCCTGCCCCTAGATAAGCATTTCCAGGGAAGCTCATCCTGTTGCAAGCCACTTCAGGGAGTTAAATCAGCAGAAAAATAATCCTGTTGGAAAAGGGATTCACTTTCTAATGGTTCAATCTCCTGGTTTCAGGATCAGATGCAGCAAAAAGGACACAAAACCATTCAGGACTCCAGCAGCCTCAACTCAGACCAGCTGAAATACCATCCAGCTGAACCTAACCAGATACTGGCTTTTAACTTGTCTTGGCTTTAACTTTTCTTTTACACAGACTGTAAAAACCCTTTTCCCTCTGCTTTTGTTAACTCTGTGCAGTAGAGCTCTACATCATCAGGATCCTATCCCATGAGCAACTCTCTGAAGGTCATGGAATTATTTTAGCTCTCAGGGTTTTCTATAGATTACCACCACCTAGTCCAGCTCACAACCACCCTTTTATTATTTATACACTGCCAAACAGCAATAGAACTGAAGTCTCACAGATATCAGAAGTATAAAAAGATCTTTCCAAAATCTCAAGAGACCTAAACCCACATTCCTAGGAAGGGATCAAGGAGCTCCTTCCCACAAAATCCATCAACTCCACAAAACCCAATTCTGAAGTCATAAAGGATGTCTGAGGGAACAAAACCAGAGGAAATAAAGTTCACTTTTACTATTTGCTTATTTATCAATCATCTCCAAGGGAATATTCTTGGTTTATATTATATTCCTAAAATCAACAGTTTCCTCAAGCCTCTCAAATAAATCTTCATGATTCCAAGCAAAGTGTCTAAGAAAACACCTAAATACCTTCAAATTGTTTGCAAAGCTAAATACATCCAGTAGTTTAAGGCATCCTCCTGTTTCCACAAAAGGATCCTCTGCAGTGGAAAGTAAATAAATGTGTTTACAACACCTGCTACATCCAGGGAGTGGCCAGCTCAAGATGCTCTAAGAACTACCACTAATGATGAAATAAGAACTTCTACAAACCAAAGAAGGTTTTTCTGGCAGGATTGTGTGGGTTTAACATCACAGGAGGAGCTGTTGTACACAAAAAGGCAGGAATTGTAGTGGCTACTTCAGTCAAATTGCTGTAATAGCCAGAAGGAGCTTTCTGGCCATTCAGACACAGCCAGTTTGCTGCTTTTGCAACTTCAGCACAGCCTGAACTGTGAATGGAATTTCAAATGTATTAACATCCATTACATTAACTTGACAAGCATTGGTAGTTGTTCAGTTTGCTAAATTTACAGGTTGGTTTAGTCTAAGGCTTTTTTCCCTTTAAGTTTATTTAAAGCTGCATGTGCAGAGAAGAACAAGTTTTAAAACCCTTTCCTCAGTAACAAATCCCTTCACTGGGGGAACTGTAGTGTCAGCTTAGCAAAACTTGCATTTTCTTAAATGTTTTTAATGCCTTGATTTCTTCTATTCTACACTAAACCACTTGGAAAAAAATGTGTCCTTTAAGGCTGGAGCAGACACAGCCCAGGATATTCATCTTGACCAAGAAAGGAACTTCTGTAAGTACTGCCCCATCCCAACATCATCTGGGCTCAAAACTCCAGAGAAATTGAAATTTTACATTAGCAATGATTACCATCCTTTCCTCACAGGACTATTTCCCAAATGTTGCACTGACACATTTTTCACTTAACTTCTTATTTGCATAGCTGGAACTTCCTGACTCTGGAAATACACCTAAATGATAATTTATTTACAACTGTGTAAAAATTGTCATTAAAGCACTGCATTACAAACCCAGCAGCTTTCCTTCAGCAACACTTGCACTTATTGTGTCTACTCTTAAATGGCTCCTCCTGTGATGTTAAACCCACACAATCCTGCAAGGAAAGTCTTCTTTCAGCACTGCACTCAGTGACATCTATTTTTAAAATATTAAACTGAAGTTAACTACAACTTCACAACATTTACTACTGTCTTTAGCATGCAGAAACTTTCATGATGTACCACATCAAACAGACACATGACAAAGAGAGGAAGGAATCAAAAGGGACAAAAGTACCTGAAGAAACCAGAACAAACTGGTTTTGAGGTATTTTTATAGTCACAGAGACAATACAGACATCTTGTTTTCCACAGATCCATATTCATGGAACATAAAAATGCATCTCAGACTGGGGCAGCATCTTAGAAACTCTAACTGGGAGTGTGAAATGCATGTTGTAACCTCAAAAGGCTGGAAGGCAACAAGGAAGGGGCAAAGCAAATGTTATGTGATCATCAGATGGAGGTGATGCCTGGCAAGCATTTATAATGGGGAATGGAGGTTTTGTCACCAAGGCCATGAAAGAAGCACCATGACTGACATGGAACTGGATGTGCACACAGAGGAGCACAAACATGTCCAGACATGCGTGGGTGCAAGCACGGGCTCTTTGTAACCCTGGCCAGAGCCTGCCATGGAATTTTCTGGCAAACAGTGGCAGATGCAGCAGCCCTTCAGTCTACAAAAGAGCATTTCTGTGACACAGACAGGCTGAGTGCTTGCTATTCCAGAAACTGACCCTGGCAATTCTGCTTCGTTCAACACCAGGAGGCCCCGGCAGAAATCTGGCAGAGGCCTGATGGATTGAAGTCCTCACACGATCCAGCTGGTTCTCCAGGACTAATCTGGGCCCAGCACAGTTAACACAGAGCAAGAATTTAAATGCACTCCAAGAGTTGTGGCTGCATTGCATTTCTCTGTCAATACTGTTCATTGCTCTACAGTAACATGATGAGGAGACAAGCTACATAACACAGGTCAGGTCCTGGTCACACAGTAACAACTCCTGCAGCTGAGCCTGGCCCCAGGTTGGAATGCCAGCCTCAGTTTCTCCAGGCAGGCACACCCAGAACCCTGTGAGGGAACTCCAGGCCTTCCATCCAGCACCAGAGCAGCTGCAGTGAGGGTGCCCCAGGCTCTGCTGCTCCTCCCTCCAGCAAATCACAATCCACAAGCCTTCATCAGGAGGATGGAGCAGTAGAAATAAAAAAATAAAAATGAACCCAACCTATATGAATGAGCATTTTTTAATCTAAGTGCACCCAACATGAACACAGAAATAATAATGGGCAAAAAAAAGGAACTTTATTATGGTCCACAGACCAAGTAACTCAACCTTTTGCTTATCAAATCCTCCCTTGCAAAAGAACAGAAAGTCTAAAGTCAGCAGGGCTGCAGTTAAATAGTAACACTTTACAGGCTGTAGAAACACACGTGCCCTTTTGACAAACAGCTTAACTGAGCCATGAAACATCAAAGCATTCCTGAAAACATTCTGGAGTGGGGAAATGAAACCTGGAACATGCCACACACCAGCACTAACAACATCTTGCTGTGGCACATTCTTACTTCTCTGCAGCCATGCATCTCAGGATGAAGGGAACCATCCTGAAGGATGCCCAAACACACTGAGCAGCCTGAAGCACACAGGGAATGTTGGGGCATTACCCTAACCAGGCAGAACCTAAGTATTTTACACTCTGAGCCAAGCATCTGATGAAGGGAACCATTCTGAAAAATGCCCAAGCACATTGAGCAACTCAGAGCACACAGGGAATGTTGGGGCATGACCCTAACCAGGCAGAACCTGAGTATTTTACACTCTGAGCCACACATCTGATGAAGGGAACCATTGTGAGGAATGCCCAAACACACTCCAAGCACACTGAGCAGTCTGAGCAACTCAGAGCACACAGGGAATGTTGGGACATGACCCTAACCAGGCATATCCTGAGTATTTTACACCCTGATCCATGCATCTGATGAAGGGAACCCTTCTGAAGGATGCCCAAGCACACAGGGAATATTGGGACATGACCCTAACCAGGCATATCCTGAGTATTTTACACCCTGATTCATGCATCTCATGATGAAGGCAACCATCCTGCAGGATGCCCATACACACTCCAAGCACACTGAGCAACCTGAGCAACTCAGAGCACACAGGGAATTTTGGGACATGACCCTAACCAGGCATATCCTGAGTATTTTACACTCTGAGCCAAGCATCTGATGAAGGGAACCATTCTGAAAAATGCCCAAGCACACTGAGCAACTCAGAGCACACAGGGAATGTTGGGGCATTACCCTAACCAGGCATATCCTGAGTATTTCACACTCTGAGCATTACATTTCCTATACCCACCCCATCCACCAAAATAGTGAGCTTATAAATAAAATTGACACTCCATCCTCTAGGGGTATAGGCACAGGCATACAGAAATTCAGCAGTTTGGGAAGAAACTAACATTCTACAAAGAAAAAACCACTTCAAGAAGCAACTGAGGCACCAGCTTGATTTTAAGAATTTCTAAAGGCTAAGACACGTGGCTGTTATCAATAACTCTTCCCATGTGGCTGTTATCAATAATTCTTCCCTCAGTCAGGAATTTTCATCCCCACCCCTCCAATTGATACAGATTTCAAACATAACCCCAACTACTAAAAAAAGCCACTTTTTTTTAGTAGAGAAACTCTGCCAGTAAGTCAGAAATCGTTCATAGTAACACTAGATTTAAAAAGGTGACATACAACACTGTGGTAGCTCTCTATAAATTAAGAGATTAGAGTAAATACAGACTTTAGCCTATTAAAAAAAAAAAAAAAACCAAAAAAAACCAAAAAAAAAAAACCAACGAAAACCAAACAAACTCCGCTGAAACTGCAGCTACTTCACAGAATCCCAGAAGGATGAGGTTTGGAAGGGACCTCTGGAGATCCCCTAGTGCAACCCTGCTGCCCAGGCAAGGTCACCTGCTGGAGCAGGTGACACAGGAATGGGTCCAGGTGGGATTTGGATGCGTCCAGAGAGGGAAATTCCGCGCCCTCCCTGGGCAGCCGATCCAACGCTGAACCTAAAGCAGTTCTTCCTCATGCTGAGCTGGCACTTCTGGGCCTTTCATTTAGCTCCCTACTAAACGAAAGGAGCGCTGTACTGTAAGAAAACCCTTTATCAAGCAAACGCGTGTTTATCGTTTCTAGTTTAAGGATTAAGCGTGTTTTAGCAATGCTTTATTCTGGAGGTGTCGTTGGAGGCCTTCTCCATGAAACGCCTGAGTTCGGCCAACGCTCGCTTTACATAACACCGCAAGCTGCCTCTGTAAACAGCCTGACCGTGCTGCGATTCCTTCCCGGAGTGCGCTGCCTTCAGCGGCCACGACCGAGCGGGACCGTGACCGTGACCGGGCCGCCCATTGTCCGGCTGGGCCTGAGAGCCGGGGCTCCGGGCCCGTCACCGCCCGGGCCGGGCCAGCTCCGCTCCCCGCCTGCCTACGGGGCACACGGAGCTCCTCCGACGGCCAGCGGGGCAGGGGAGACCGGCCGGGCTCAGGGCCGCGCTCCGCTGGGCCCCGCCGCACGCCCGCCCTCACCGAGCCCCCACCGCCCCGCTCCCTCAGGGCGCGGCCTGCGCTCACCCGGCCCCGCCTCACCTGGTCGCCGGCGGTTCCCTCTCCGGACATGGCGCGTTCAAAGCGGGCTGGGGCGCGGGGCCCCGAGCAGGTTAAAGCTCCTTAAAAATCGCTCGTCCGGCCGCAGCCGCCGCGCCCGGAGAGCAGCAGCGAGAGAGCGGCAAAATGGCGGCGGCACCTCCGGCCCGGGGGCGGGGGAGCGGGGCTGGCGGGAGGAAAGGCGTCATCGCGGCGCGCGGGGGCGGCCGGAAGGGGCGGGGCCGCGCTGAGGGCGGGAGGCTGAGCTGAGGCGGTGCTTCCTCTTCGCGCTCCTCTTCCTCTCCTGCTCCTCTTCCTCTCCTTTTTCCTGCCCTTCCTTCCCTTTCCACGTCGTGGGGGCAGAGCTGGCTCCCCAGAGCCGCTGTTGCCCCACATGGGCTGGATGGAGCCGCGATGCCCGGCCCAGCCCTGAGGGTGGCCCCGGGAGGGCGGGAGGCTGCGCTGAGGCGGCCCTTCCTCTCCCCGCTCCTCTTCCTCCCCTTTTTCCTGCCCTTTCCTTCCCTTTCCACGTCGTGGGGACAGAGCTGGCTCCCCGGAGCCGCTGCTGCCCCATACGGGCAGGATGGAGCGGCGATGCCCGGCCCGGCCATGAGGGTGGCCCCGGGAAGGCGCGCTGAGGCGGCGCTTCCCCTTCCCGCTCCTCTTCGTCTCCCCGCTCCTCTTCCTCTCCTTTTTCCTGCCCCTTCCTTCTCTTTCCACGTTGTAGGGACAGACCTGGCTCCCCGGAGCCGCTGCTGCCCCACACGGGCAGGATGGAGCCGCGATGCCCGGCCCGGCCATGAGGGTGGCCCCGGGAGCCGCTGTAGCCGCGCTCATGGCACCCCTCAGAGGGATGGAGGGAGCTGCGGGAGCTCGGAGACTTCCAGCAGCTCCTGGCCGGCGCTTTGCCTTCGCTGAGGCAGCGCCAGAGGCGGATGCCAGCCGCAGGGCCGTCCCTTGCACCCCACAAGCGCTTTTGCTGATTGAGACAAGTTCAAAACACAGGCTGAGATCGGCGTCACTAAAGATGTCAAGGGCGCAGGAGGGAGCTTCCTCTAAAGCTACTTAGTTTTTTGTGGAAAATGCCAATCACTTGTTTTTAAAAGTTTAATAGTAATCAAATGGCTATAAAAATAGTACTACAATTAGAGTAATAATGATTTGGACAATTTGAATTAGGACAATATGAGACAATAGAGACAAAGAGTTACGGATGTCCAGGTACCTTTTTTTGGGCAGCGCAGGCCTGAAAAAGGACCCATGTTAACAGAGGATTAACCTTTAAAAGCAACAGCCTGTTGCACGTTCATACACCTCATACATGGTGCATAAATTCCATTCAAACACAGGATTCTGTCAGCTTCTTCCTCTGAATCCTAATAGTGCCTTTAAGGCGGGAAGAAGTTCATTTCTCTTGATAATGGGGCAATAAATTCTTTTTCTCTGAAAGTTTCAGGTGTCCTGTGGCTGCTATCTCGCTGCAAGCCCTTTCTTTAAATAAAGTATCCTACATAGCATCGTTTCTATTTTAACATTTTGTTATAACCTAAAACTATATTTAACACACTACTTAAGAGAATTAATACAGCATCACTTTCTAACACAACACATATAATATTCATTTTAATATTTGCCAAAAGCCAATCATAAAATACACATTTTTCACAGTTTTGTTTACAAAATACCCAGCAGCCAGAGAAAAGAGCCTTGAGGCAGCCAATGCAGGGAAACTCTGCTATATTAAAAAAAAAAAAATCTGGGAGGAGGCTTGGCACATACCAAGGTGATTTAGCTGCCTTCACAACAGCAGTGTGATGCTAAAATAATACATGAAGAAACTTGGTGTTAGTGCAGGGATTTCTTTTCTGCCTCATCTTGCAGAAGTCACTATCTTAAACCACAGAAATGTGTGGCAATGGGACATAAGGAACACGTAATGTGCAACCTTCTGAAGCTTCACCTGGAAAAAGTAAAGGGAGCAGAGAGTGGAGAGTCAGTTGACTAATTGTGCACTAACATTTCTCAGAACTTTGATTCTTCAAAAGTGAAACACCAACGTGTCTTGGCTGATAAGCTGTGCTGTCCTTGGAGAACAGGGACTACAAAAACCCTGCAATTTTCCAAGTCATTCTTGTAATGTTTTTCCACTTCCTACACAGGAACTAATTCCTTCAAAGCAATTGCTTGAAGCAATGCTGGGAAAACTTCTAATTAGAGAACACTTGTGTCATTGCAGGGCTGCAGAGTGTCGGCTGCCTCCCTGGCCTGGCTGAATCTCTTTTTTTTTCTGGTTCTTCAGGTTCCCATTTTGTTGTGAATGCCAGGGCTCCCAGCCTGAGGAAGCTGGGGCAGCCAGGACATGATGACAGGCCTGGCTGCTTGGCAGGGCTGCCCTTCAGCTTGGTGATATCAGACAGGAGGATGTTGTTGGTGCCTGCTGTGATTCATGCTCAGCTCAGTCACCGATGTGGAACTTCATGAATCAACAAGGAAACTCTGGGTTATGCTGTTCTGGGAGGGAATGAGGCAGAAATCAAAAATCCAGAGCTGCTCAGGAATTAAAGGCTGCTGTACCTGCGGGGACTTGGAAATGGAAGAAAATGAGAACCTAGATAGATGTTGAACCTTAGAGGCTGCCAGGCCAGGATCTTGGTGAGCTGTAAGCAAAGCAAATTTGAAAGGAAGCTGCTTGCAGAGAGTTGGGGTTATCAAACAGGCCTGACATACCTGCCTCCCAAGGCATTCTAGCAGCTAGTTATGAAATCACGGGTTCTGTGCAACTAAAACCACCAAAAACATTGTTTGCAACCTAGTTCTCAGAAGGATTCAATCACAGATGTAATTGTGTTGGTTGTGTCTGCTCAGTGCTGGAAGGACAGTTTTAGCCCCTCGGATTTGAGCTGCCCTGGTAATTTCTGTGTGCCAGTGCTGAATCCCACCAGAGGGCAGAGGGTGCTGAAGGTTGTCACCAGTGTCACCACGCTTGCTGGAGGCTGTGGGCTGTCTCCCCTCCTCTGAGATGCATTTCAGACACGGGGTGAAGGTGAGGACCTGGAAACTGAGAGATCCCACCTTGCTCTTGGCCACGAGCGTGCTGGGGCCTGGTGTTTGCTCAGCTGAGACTTCTGCCCTACAGAACCCACAATCACCCCTTTGGTGCTTCTAAAGTGACAACACCCTGGGGATTCTGTGAACCAAAGAGGAGAAAGCAGCCTAAATTTACATTCTCATAGGTCATGATTAAGAATGAATAAATTAATCCTTCAGATGGATCAATCCAGACTGGTGTTGCTCCCCATTTGACCTCCAGCGAGCTGTGTCTTACTAATCAAGTGTATAAATGAGGAAGGAGGCAAAACCCAAACAGGCTTTGCTGAGTTTGTTTTCTTGGGCTCTGCACTGGCACTGCTGGGCTTTGTAGTCAAGAAGGAAGGAAGCATCTGGGAGGGATTTGGGTGGTGAGGAGGAGAAGGCAGCAACAGGACTGAAAAGAGTTTGGAAATTCAGTGTATGAGCAAGAAAACAGAGCTGAATGGACCAGTGAGCAGCTAGGGTGATGAGTAAAAAATAATTACAGCAGATCACATAGTTGCAGTAATATATTTTAATAGTGTAATAAGATGTTAAAATTTGGGGTTGAATTCTAACCTCCTCACCATCAATTCCTTTGCTTAAATTGCCTATTACTTAGTGCTATTTATTACATTGTTGCCTCACTTATTTTTTGTAAGCAGCTTTTTCAGTTTTTCTAAGGAAACTATAAATAATCATCATGTCAATTAAATCCTGTTCTGTTTTCAATGCAGAATTATTTCCCAGTGCAAGTAATTGTTACCTTGCGATAACACTTCTTGCTGTTGTGGAGCATTATTAGTATTCATCAATGTTTATTTATATTGCCTTGTGGATTCTTGGGAAAATTTACCATAATGAAATGAAATCTGAAGCTGGATTTGTGTGCATCTCTCTCTCTCTGGTTACAGCTGTACTTTAAGCAGGAAACACTAAGCAGTGAACATAGTGCAGTAAATTATTTAAGCCAACAACTGGGTATCCTCATGGGCAGGGTTACATTGTTTTTTTTCCTTTGAGATTTGTAGTCAGATGTTTATGTATGTACCCTTTATAGTGTACATACAGTGGGTCTAACATGTCCTAAATGCTTTGTGAGCATATCAGCTCCCCAGGATGGGCACAGTCAGCGCCCCATGCCCAGCAGCCATTCCTCTGGCATTCCTGCAACAGTGTCCAAGGCTCTGAAAATCAGAGATGCTGATACCCACCAGCTCTGCCCGGGCCAAATTCATCGGCAGAAAAAGAGTAAAAATCTAGAAAACCTCAAATAACACAACGGTTTAAAAAGCCAACACACAGAACATCCCGAACCAAAACAACAAAAACCACCCAGCCAACAGCAACAACAACAACAACAAAAGAAAACCAGCTGAAAAACGCTATTCTGGATGAAAGTGGAGCCCAAATGAAGGGAGAAAGATGAGGTACTGTACACAAACAGCAGCGCAGTTCACTGATTGCAACGTTCCCAAACTTCGGAGTGTCTGTAACCTGAGTATTTTGGAAGTCCTTCAGATGCTCCTAGCGAGCACTGGCACGTTCCCCCGTGTCCCTGTGTGACTCACCCGGGAGGTGGCAGGCGAACACCGCTCGGCCAGCGCAGAGAGGGGACGAGCTGCACGTACCTGGCACCTGCCCAGCAGGGAGAACGGCACGGCGCCAACTCGGGGGGTTCATATCTGCATTACGGGATTTTTTTCCTGCCACTTTGCTGTTGGACATCCCGAGTGTCTTTCTGTGAATGTTGCTGTCGAGTCACAGCTTGCAAAGTTATAGTATTTTAGCTTTATTTTAGGAAAAAGTCACCCACGTTTTGGGTGTAAGGGTTTTAACAGTTAATAAGAAGGGCAGAAAGTAGGAAGAAAATCCTACTTTCACAGAGTCATCAAGGGATGATTGGAAATCAAAGAGGGAACTTGCCAGTAGGCAGCATAGAGATCATGCAACAAATAAAAGGGAGAACAAAATGAGGTGGGGCAGAACATACTTACTTGTAATTGGCTTTATGCTTTTGCATACAAGTATTTAGCCTCAGGTGTTTTCTAGTGTATGCTTGCTTACTCTGGTTGCAAATACACAGACAAAGCCCTGTAAAAAACATAGTGG